TTGGGTGTCTTAAAACAAGTAGCACAAATGTAGTTTAGAAATCTTTAATATAATTCTTCTATTACTTAATAAAGTTTTTATTTTGGCATTTCAAAAAAAAAAAAAATTTATTCATTTAATTTATTTTATATTTCCTTTTTAGGTTCACTCTTTGTCCAAACTTTCTGTGCTATGTTAATTTTAAAACTTGTTACAATTCATTAATGCTAGGTTAGCATTTAGAATAAAGTCAGAGATTAGATGGTTAGGTAGTAAAATCACACAATGAAAACTTTTTGTTAGAGTACTAAAGGTGGTTTCTTATACTAATTCTTGAGAAATAAGCGATTTTGGACAAAACGAACGTTTGTTTTGAAAATTGCTGATTACTCCTGATTTTTTAAATCCAATTTGTGATGATCAACATGTAGTTCAATAATGCTAGTTGAGTTTTTTATACTATATTTCATGACCCTAAATTTGCTCTATTTTACTTTTTTATTTTTTATATTACGTACATTCCTTTATATAGTACTCAAAAAAAAACCTACTAATATTTTTATTATCTCAGACTCTAAATAGTTGTAAATAGGAATTATCTAGTTTTAATAGTTCTTAAAATGCTAAATTGGATTAGTATATTATAAGATATTCCTAATTTTTTTGTAATTATATTATTTAAAAAATAATATTCTATATATTGAGAATATAAAAAATTTAAAAATATTAGTACTATAAATTTAGTTTATTTGAGAACATTACTATTTAATTTATTTGAGTACATTACTTTGAATTTGAATTTTAAACACTGTTTATAACAGGTCATAACTATTATCATCCCTAATCATGATAAATTAGATAATATTAAAAATTTGTTGACTTTATATATCTATGAACATGACATTTATCTCACTAACACAACTCTCAGCTTTCTTACAAAGCATCTTTTATAGACCATTATAAAATAGTAAATGTATCTGATTGATAAGCCTCTACACCGAGACCACTACTAGAATGGTTGACTTGAATAATAATATTATAATCCTGAAGACTTTGAATATCCTTAGAAATCGTAACTGTCTCTTTTTCTAATGAAACTGGTACATTTATTGCAAGATAACTAAGTATATTAGAGCCAGGTCCAGTAATAAATATGATATCAAGAGAAAGTTTTGATATAATTTGAATACTGGAATTTCAAAATATTAATATAATATACAAAGATAATTACATAAACTTAAGAATGAATTTTACTATCAAAGTACTTACGAACCTTCCATTTGATAGTAAGTTTATCACCACTCTAAAATTACCATAAAAGAATATTTATTTGACATACCATTTAAATAAAAACTTCTATTAACTTTAATAAGTTTTATTTTTTTAAAAAACTCCATACCTTAACTTTTTGACCAAATGTTGGTTTAGAAATAACTAACCCAAAACCTGGATTATTAATGAAGAAAGTTCCAGATTCAGTAAGTCCAGACACAGTAGTTATAGCAATAACATATTGAGCATTAGGGGCAACCAACAGAAGAGTATAGATATAGGTATAACATTCTTTTGCTATCGAATTTTTTAAGAATATTATTCAAATAAAAAAACTGACTTTGGCATTAATAACATAATGAATATTTAAAATAAGATTTCTTACACCCTAATTGAATTCCAGTCTAAAAATTTTGAACATCAATAAGAACAGCACCAGGTTCATTAAGCTTAAAGTCTATACTATCAATTTTTGTTATGGATTTATTGGGGCAGAAAGAAATTTTGATATTGTCTCCAGAAATAAAGTTACTTCCTTCATCTTATTGATAAAGTATTTAATATATTATTTAGAAAAAAAAATAAATAAATAAATCTTTTAGGAAATAATTTTAAACCTGGACAAGTGATTGTGATACCAAGAGGAGTAGGTTTCGGTTGATGAGTATTAGTAGGTTTTGGGTGAGGATTATGGTTCCAATCATGGTCATGTTGGAAGACATTGTGATAAGGAATTTTATTGTTGCCATGGAGGAGATGGTTTATGTTATGCTTATTAATATTTTGTTGGTGGTAATTATATTGAAGAAAAGAACAAGAATGGTGAATATATAGAGAGTGGAACAAGTGATAAACATTTTGTATAATAATTAATGCAAATGAATGTACTCACTGATTCTACAAATTTTCAAAATAATGAAAATGAGCTTTATTTATAATGAAAAATACCAGGCTTAAAATACTTTAGTGAAATCTTCCTAAGTGTATGTATGCACAAAAGTTATCACATTATACAAAGTAAACAATGCACTTTTTAATTATATGCAAATAATTCATAATTATAGTTAATGTCTCATCCTAATAATTTATGCCGCAACTCAAACCAAAGCTAAAACCTATAATGAATGGCATAATCTAAATTGGAATTTAAATATTTAGAAGCCACTTCATACTTAATTGTCCAGTAAGTCAAAGAATCTAAAAAATAGCAATAGAGATGGCTATGTCATTAACCAACTGAGAACACCTAGTGATCTAAATGAGATGTTCACAAGTCATTCAGTTAATGCTCAAATGAGAAACTGAATACTTTACAAAAATTTTAAATTTTAAGATATGTAATTATTTGCAAATAATAATTATTATAAAGTACTTTATAAGCTTTTAAAGTAATAAATTAGGAATTGAATCCTAAATTAGTAAAATATTAGTAATATTTTAGGCATTATAAATAGCAAAAAATTAGTATTTTAAAAACCAATAAATTAGGTATTAAAAATGTGATATTATTGCATTATTTATGACTAATATAATTATTTTATTTGCAATATTATATATTATTTGCAATATTTGCAATTTTAGATATCTATTATATACAAAATTATCAAAATATTAGTAATACGCTACCTATTAATTACCAAAAATTTTGTTTTTTAAATTCAATAAATTATGTAATAAAAATCAATTTATAAATATAATATGATGTATTTTTTTAGCATAATATAATGTATTTATTAGCATAATATAATAAATATTCAATTTACAAAAATATATATATAAATATTTATATTAATTAATATAAAGAACTATATAATTATTATATTAATTTAAATTTTCTTTTTGTTCTTTAAGTTCTAGCTAATTTGCATATTGATAATAACTTGCAGCAAGAAATATAAAATTAATTGTAATATTATCTAATTCTTTAATATAATTTAAAACCATTGAAGTATAATTAGGTCTTTCTCCATTAGATTCAGCTATCAAATATTCAACATGTATTTAAAAACTTTTGGCTATGAAAATCTTTAACACATTAACTTCATCTTGATTGTCTTGAAAGCTATTGTAGTCAAGTATATCAATATATTGTTTAAGAGGTTTTTCTTATACTGATCCAGAAATGAAATGTTTGATATTATTAAAACTTGGATTTCTGTAATTAATTAGTTTTAAATATTAGATTTTGTAGTTTTTTTAATATATAATAAATAAAATAAAAAGAAATAATCCTTACCTTTTATTTTGAATTAATTGACTTGCTAATTTAGCAATTTCATTATTGTAAGTACTACAAAAATTTTCAAATGATTGTTGTAATTTAGCTAAAACTTCATTTTACTTTGGATGTGTATTAACTATATTAGGAATAACAGTTTTTATTAATATAGTATGAGTTCTTTTAGTTGGTACTCTAGTTCACAAAAATAAAATGTGAGATTGTTTAGCAAGAAGCTTTGCCAAATTAGATGTATTAGTATCACTTGAAGAATGTATTATATATTGATATAAAAATTATAATTATAAATTTTATAATTTTATATTATATAAAGTAATAAAATTAATAATTATAACTAACCTTATTGGATAATATATTATTATTATTATTTAAATTTAATGCCTGCAATGCTAAATCCTTACATGTTTCTAACCATTGAAGAAGTTGTGTTTCATCTTAAAAAAAGAGACTATTTTTTGATTTACTAGATGTATGAGAATTAATATAATTTGTATTTGGCATATTTAAAAGAGAATATAATAGTTTTTTAAAAATCACAGAATTAAGATATTTATTTTCTGAAGATTTATCTTCATTATTAGTAGATAGAAAATATGAGCATTTATTAGATTGTTTAAAAAAAAGATCTTTTGGAGCTTTTTTTCAATATTGATTTGTTGATATTGCTTAATATAGTCATTAAGTTCAATTGATTCAATTGAAGGTGAGCATTGTCGATGAATAGAAGATGAGTGTTGTCATTGATAGATTGAAGATAGGCATTGCTGATGAGATGAAGGTGAGCATGAGCATTGTTGATGAGATGAAGCATTGTTGATGAGATAAAAGTGAGAGTAAGTGTTGTCGATGAGATGAAGGTAAGCATGAACATTGTTGATAAGATGAAGGTGAGTGTGAGCATTGTCAATGGATTGAAGGTAGACATTGTCAATGAGATGAAGGCAAGGATGAACATTGTTGATGAAATGAAGATGAGCATGAGCATTGTCAATGAAATAAAGCTAAGTTATTTTGTAATGGCACTTTATATTAATATTTAGTGGTATTTGTTAATGTTGAAGATTCAATAATAGTTACAAATATTGAAGATTTGATACAATTATTTTGAAGTGGTTCTTGTAATTCTTGTGCTTCTAGATTAACATTAATATTTTCTTTTGAAAAATTATAAGATTAATCTTATTTTTTATTACAAATATAAGAAACTATTTTGTTTTATTAAAAATAAAAAACCATTAGTATACCTTTAATCTTTGTTTGACATATTGTTCATTGTCTTTTTGTTCTTGAAATATTCTTACTTGTTGTGTAACCTTTGCTTTTGTGCTTTTTGTTATTCTTTTAGCTACAAAAGAGAAATTTTTAAGTTAATAGTCAATATAGCCTTATATAAAAATAAATATTAATATTTACAAGCATCTGACTTTCATGCCATTTTTGGTATAAAAATTCAAAGATTCTAAAGAGAAGATAACTAAAAAAAGTTGTTATTTATATTTAATCAATATGCAATCAAAATTAATGCAAAATTTTATCATGCGATTATCTAATTTAATTTTATGACTATATACAATAAATTTATAGTAATACAGTATAAAATTACTAAATTTTAAAATATATGTATTATAAGTTTTAAAAGAATAGAGCAGTTGAAGTGTCAAAAAGTGAATCAATATGAATATCAGAAAAGTTTTTTTGCAAAAAAAGACAGTATCATAATATAGTATATTAATCAGAAAATATTTTGATTTACAAAATATTATTTAAAGCAAAATTATAAAGTGCATAGAAAAGTAATTGATTTTTTTTTTGTCTTTCAACTATCACCTAAAAAAAAATTATTATTAGTATTTTATTTATTATATAGTATATTAATAGAATCTTAATATTAATAAAATTTTTTTTGATTTGGTTAATAAAAGCTGTCTATTCTTTTTTGCAAAAGTTCTTAAGCCAAATTATCATTACATTATCGACTAAGTCTAAAGTAGTCCAATTGTTATTAAATGTTTTAAATAATTGCATTAATCTTGGTCCTGCTATAGTAATTTGTTAAGTTTTCTTAATGAAATTTTACCAGAAAATCCATGAATATTTATTGAAATTTCATCTGATTCTATACTTCTTTTTCTTTTTTTTTCTTTTTCATTGGCTATATGTTTAATATTAAACAGATCGAATTTCATTGAGTTTATCTTAAAGAGTTGTTCAATTGAGGTTTTACTGATTAAAAATAAATGCACTTGCATTGCTGATTTTATGTCTTTAGATCTAGTGGCAAAGTTTGAAACCCATTTCTTTAAAAAGATATAGGCTTCTTTAAATTCATATAAGAATCTTAAGGACATGTGTCTTGTCACTTCTGAATGATATAAACTAATATTAACCTTATGAATTGATTAGTAACATGTTGTTATAAGTGTTGAGAATATTGATATTTAGTTAGATACTTCAGTATTACAATTTAAAAAATGATTAATACTAAGACTAGATGGTAATCCTGGTGCTCTTCTTAATAATAAGATTGCATCTTATATATTTCCAGCTTCTTCTATTAATGGAGGTATTTCCTGTTCTTTTATTAATGGAGTTACTTTTTGTTCTTGAAATAGATTTAGTTTAAGAGCTTTACAGATTAATGAGGTATCAAATTGGACTGGATTGGTAGAGTTTCTTTGTTGGATTACTATTTTCAAAAAATCTATTATGTTCCTGTAATACTCCATTTTTTTGATCTCAGAATTGGGATCAAAAAATGGAGCTATTACAGACAATTCATTTTGCAAAAAAAGAAACTCATGATATAAATTAGCTGTTTTGAGCTTATTACTATTTAAAAGTTTATTTTTGAAAGAATTTTCGTATTTAGCATAAAAACCTAAAGTGTCTGTCAGATTATTATCATCCCAGTTTATATATATAAATTTTGGTTATTCAAAATTATTGACTACTTCTTTAATTACTTCATAATTTCTAGTTCGAGAGTGATTTGTCTATTTTCATTCTTTAATACTGCTTTTCTCTTTTTAAAAAATACTTCGATCTTTTTCAAATTGGATCTGTGTACTACTGCACTTAGTGCTAAACTGCAATTTACAATATTCAAATTAAATTCTTTCGCTATACATTAAAATCTTGTAGACTTAAAACTGCATGGTAATAAAATTTCTTTCACAGTTTTAATTATTAATTCTAAAAAAAAATTTGTATATTAATTAATTAATTTTTTTTTAATTTTTTATTTAATTTTTTTATTTAATTTTTTTTTTTTATTTTTTTTATTTTTTTATTTATTTATTATATACATACTACTATTTCTTAATGTTTCGCATTTACTTTTTTTCTTTTTTCTTTTTCCTATGACACTAGTTTCTTCATCCTCTATCTCATCAAATTCCACTCTATCTATCCGGTCTGTCTCTTCAATATCTTCTCTATACATTTTATTGACTTCCACTTCAGCTTTATAGTCTATCTTTCCTTTATACATTTCATCAACTTCCTTTTCATAGTCATTTTCTATCATATTAGCATCCTCTTCTTTATTATTAATGTTTTCGCTGTCCTCCTTCTCAGAATTTTGATTATTATCATCATTTAAATTCTGCTCAATTTTATTTTTTTAATAACAAATAAATTAGTTATATTAGCAAATATAAACAGTATAGAATATTATATTAATTAATTTATATCTTTATTCAATAACATCTTTAGTTCATCAAATTGACTTTATATTTGTCATTTTCTTGACTAGGCACTTCACTAACCTCAAGTACCATATCTAGTTTGTTAGCTGCCTCATATTTAAGATCTATCATATCTTCACTTGATTCTACAATTTGAAAATTAAAAGATCTTTTGGTTTCATCTGAATATATAATTATAACCTTATCTCTTATAAATCCAATTAGCTAAATTTGTTTATCCGAATAGTACAAGGATAGTAAGTATATATATCACATTACATTATTATTATAACATGCTAAAAAAAAATTTAAAAAAATAATTAATTATAATAATTAAATTAAAACAAAACACTAAATAATTTAACAAAAACTGAA